TTTTTAATATGAGCTTCCGCTTATTCATAGCTTAAAAGCATCATCTGAAAAAGGTGTAATAAACACATGATCATTAAGTTTCAATAAAAAATTATACGGCATCATTTGCTAGCCTTTAACTGTCGTTGAAATATTATTAATTTAAAGCATTCTAGCTCGATGTGCTGGAACTGACGACAGCGCTGTCAAAGTAATCAAGTACAAGGTTTACTTGTCAGCAACCGTAGGACATTGCTATCTGCAGGTAAATGAACAGATCACTGCAGAGAAACTCGATGGAAGCGCAAAAAGCCATGTTGCCTTTTTTTTTTATCTGACGTCTAGGCTATTAGCCGTGTTCTACCTACCTCAAGTGGTCTTATTCTTTTCTCAAATAATACTCACCTTATATATAAAATAGTTTTATTTATTAGCTCTGTATGTATATTCCTCATTCCACTTATCTGTGCGATAGTATAGTAAAATATTTCCTTAGTTTTTCCCTGTCCGCCTTTATTCATAGAATTTAGACATTTTTCAGAAACACAATTTCTCGCATCTCTACATCCAGAGTCGACTGTATTTTTTTACCGTCTTACCGTGACAGCCTATTCGCCTAGCCACTGGGGCCACCCACTTAGTGTGGGGGGGTGTTGTATTGTCGCACCCATTTACCAATCCCTTAAGGGGGTAGTGTCACAATGTATAGTCAATGCGTGTTCTGAAATACATTACGTGCTCTAAAACAGGCAAGTGAAAATAAATGTGGCAACCCCGCATGAGGCGAGAATCCTCTGTATATCTATAATATAAGTATAGATACGTTTGGAGGTTATATTATACGTCAACAGTAGTGAGTTAGTGGTGCAATCTCCGTTGCAACATCTTCACGGATCTTCAAATACACACTTTTAATTTGTTATAACCAAACAACGGTGAAGCTACGAGTGCTGTTCTTGAAATATGATGTTTAAAACATACTATTTTACACTATATTTCAATTTCAGCAAAGTCTGAAATTTTTTTTAAATCGCAATCTGTAAAATACTGTTTTTCCGATAAGAGTCCGTGTTAAATAGATAATTTATTTTTCAAAAACGGTGAAGCGAAGGTATTTGAAATTTAAGTGTGTTATTATACATATAATTGTTAGCTTAAACAAATTTTTTCAATGTGTTCCTAAATTTTTTAATTTTGTGACACTACCCCCTTAATTGATATCATATCTATGTAATACCTTAGGCACTGTGAGAATATCTCTAGTGAAACACCGTGCCAGTTGAGCTGACACTCTCTGCACCAATGGGCATCGGGTCCACTTGCCAATGTGTAGCCTTTTCCTTGTAGATAACTTCGTATTTCAGGACGTCCAATCTTCACCAGGTAACCCGGCGCTTTCTGCCGAAGCATAGGATTCCGGCTAATTAGCATCCCCAAAGAAGCCCTATATTTCAGGGACCACTCCTCACCGGTAAGGCCGGTGATCCCTGCCTGGCGCATCAGATCCGCTATTCCCTACCAATAACCCTAACACAGTTTCGCATTCACCCAAACCCGAAGACCCGGGGGGCAAGGAAAAAATCTTGAAATTACCCTGAAGGAAAATTCTACGGAAAAACCCGCCCCACAACAGCCGGGGTTTCATAGGAACTTTTTCCGATGAAAACAGTTTTTGAAAAAATCTGCATTCACTAAAAATTGAACCCACAACCCCTGGAACAGCATTGTATCAGTAACAAGCATGCTTACCACTGAGCCAACGCTGCTCCTCCTAAACATGAAGTTATTTAAGGACATGTAACAAGTCAGTTTATAATATTTTGCCATTCTGGGCTCAGAGTTTTAACTAGCAGCTAAGCACAATTGTCTTATTTTAATACTACGAATTTGTTATTAACGAAATCGGGCTATTCTGCATTAAATAAGTACTGGTAAAGTGTGTCCTTGAAAGATTCTAATCTCCTTTATATAGACTGGAATTTTATACTATTTGCGATAGGAAACGTAAACAGTATACAGTGAATTTCAAGACGTACTTTTGTTTTATCTCAACTTTCAACCATCACATTTGCTTGTAGTAAAGTAACATCTGAACATCGTGACCAACCCCGAAGACAAAACTTACAATCGTATTACACAGCCGATGCTACTTAAGGAAGTTAGGTGTAATTTACTTAGCGATAAAAATGTTTGAATAAAATATACGTTGTAAAGAAACATTGCATGTATATAGTTATCAACTTTCAACACAATCGCATCTACAGATTACGAAAAAAAATTAATTAAGTTTCCCATTTTCGTCATCTTGAATATGAGTTCAAATGTAAGCTGTCAAGAAAGTTGTAGAAAAATACCCATTGCGTTTGACGTAGCGATAAGAATGTTTTGAAAAACTGATATGTTACTTGTGACAACTTCATTGAGGTACATGCAAAGTTTCAACAAATCGCGTCTGCAGTTATGGAGATATTTGCACAAACGTAAAAAAATTTGTTTCCTACTCATATGCTACATTCATGTGAGAGACAAGGACGCACTAAGTATACTGTCTACCATTAGCTAGATTTTTTACGTGTCTCAATGCATGGAAAATTGTTGTTACCAAAAAAACAGGTCTTATATGTTAGTGGAATTACTTTCGATACTCCTTAGAAAAAAAATTTGTACTAGTACAGGTATATTTGCAGTGGTAGTATCTGCATCACCGAAAAACCTGTGATGAGTCGGTTTTATAACTATAGTAGTACAAGTTTATTAATAGTGTTGGTACAGAATTTTTCTGTACCATGGATAGTCTATTAAATTTATATACTGCGCACGGCTTTCTACTGTACCGCGCATAGTACACGCGCTGATAAAGTGGAGTGATGTATATATATGCATGCATGTATGGAATTGCCACTGTGTCATTTTGTTTACATGTTGCGTGATATGTTTGGCTCAATAATTATTATTTGCGAGTGAAAAACAATTATGTAACACGAAAGTGACTACAAGTGCTTACTGCACTAATCACTACATTTTATCTAGTTATATTCGTATCTTGTTACGCGTTAGCCGGAGGTTGCGACTAACGCATTTGATTTAACTGTTGAATACTATGCAACTTAAACTGTACTGTATTTTGGAAAGGATTGGGTTATCTGGGTATTGTGCAGCGTCTAGTGCAGCAACAAGTAGTGCAATACAGCTACCAAAGTTGAATAGCTTTTTGTTGAATTACGAAGCACTCTGTAACATGCAACACTGAGGCACTACTCTGTTACAGCCGCACTCGGCACTACACTTACCGAGTCACGACACCAGGCACATTCGAATATTTACTGCCTATTTATTCATGTAAATAACAGCCATTTAAATTACATCAAGGGAGCGGCACACCACAAAGGTGACGACCCATGCAGCATGGCTTGCTGTTACTACAGAAACTTATTATATCTTAGTGTCGTTCACCTGATAACTCACGATAGGGGAGTCGGGCTGACTCTATATGGTATTAAGGTAAGGTAATTCGGAACGGCTGTTAGCATACTACACAACACGCAACACCAACACCACGTAATGTCACCTACCAGAATATTACCGCTGACCGTCCTCTCGATCTTCTCGACGATGCTGTTACGTGTCTGTGGACACCGGGGAACTTAGGTGGCCGTGTGAGAGCTTTCTGGTGTGTATGTGGCACTGGGTCTCGGAGCTATTTCCACACGGTGGCTAGGCAGGCGAGAGTCTGCTGATGCCGTACCGCGCCGCTCCGGTGCTAATCTCGCAACGAGCTCAAGTGTCTCTCTTGTCCCGCCGCGCAGGCGCACCACATGTTATGCGGCCCACCACACACTATCAGCCAATACAGCACTATACAGTGGCCTCCAATACTAGGATTGCTCCCGACACACCGACACACCGACAGCTGCCGTTCACGGATCCACTCTCTCAACATCGCATACACGCGCGCACACACACACACCCACGCACCTCTGAAATACAGGTAGGAAGCACGGGAGAAGGTTCAGATCGACTTCTATAGCTACTCTTAACGCTGTGGCCTCCGAGCTTCACGCCGGGATTCCGTACCTTACAGCAAGCTACATGCAGGAGAGAGAGAGAGAGAGCTAATTACGAGACTCTTGCCATTTATTGTTGTTGACAAGGGCTCCGTGACGTGTTCGGATATATATCTAATTCGCCACGTCACAATCTATACATTTTATAATGTATTGTGGTGGATGCTGATATCCTAACCCCTTAAATTTTTTGCCAACCACTGCTGACAAGATGGATGAACTTTATTTTTTTTTTAATGAGAAATATCTAAACTTGGAGAGTATTTGTTATTTCTCACTTTTGTAGGTTATTTTTTAATAAAGCTAATTTTAATTGAACGGTGCACGTTAAGGTCAGTTTTCCAAACATGTCATAGTCGTTTTTTAATTTTAATATCAAAAATATTTAGCAACTAATATTTTTGCCTCTTCATAATGATTTGCTTATAAAAAAATAATGTTCTACGAAGGCATTTACAAGCATTTTTGTCACCGTTAAAGGCAACGCACCAGCCTTATACTGCAATATATGCAACACATGCACCGCAGGGCACATCCGAGATACCAATCTATTTTAAAACAAACCCTTCTTGAAAATAATTCTCAAGGTCTTAACCAAGTCTCTAAGTGGTATGTTTTCGAATACACTGTATTTATCAGCATTAGGCAACAATTTAATATGCAATAGATAGCGGCCTCGTTAATAACTAACACAAATGAGTGACATAAAATACATTAATGTAGTGATATATAAAACAACTCAAACTTGTAGACATAAAGAATTACTTTAGATTTCAGTGATATCCTGGTAGTTCAATTAAATCTATTAATGTTATTACCACACCATCTTTATAAAGATTATTACTGTACCATGTGTCTTTATTTATAACAACTTGTACTTAAACTTTAAAATAAATTAAACAAAAAATTTTAATTGTATGATAAAGTATTTTGTACTGAATATCTATTGATTTTCAGGGTTCACCTCGTTTGCATCATGGTCCTGGAGGCACGAATCCTTCTACTGTATCTTATCCATCATATAGCCAACGCTTTACTTCGCCTAATAGATCTAATTCACCGTATAATCACCAGGTTAAGTTTACAGGAAATACATTTTCACAATTTGTATTATTTTTGACAAGAATTTTTAATATTAAGTTTTTTTCTTTATCCACATAAAACGTATGATCATTTTAATTGATAATTAATAAAAAATTGTTTTATTTATTTTTCACTTTTAGTTGAGTTCATACTCAGTATCATCAAGTCATTCATCAAATTTATATGCTGAACAAAGAAATTGGTCTCAAAATACATCGTTAAGTACATCAATGCCACCATCAACTAATCAGTCTAACTCGTCTGGTCAGTCACCTCAACGTGCATTATCTCAATCTCCTGCACCACAACCATCCGCATCTCCACAACCTCAAACTTCTAATCCGTCACAGGTTTGTTGATAAATAATTACGAGTATGAATCGTTCTAATCATAATTATAGAAAAAATGTTTTTTTCATAATCAATATTATAACTAAGCAATTTTCGTAAGTAATTAGTAAAAAAATAACACTAAAATAACTTTTCACTAAAGGCATACATTTTTTTTGTTTAACGCTATTCTGAGCAACTAAAAATTACTAAAACGTAGTAAGTGATAAAATTTTTAATAGATATGAAAATTACTTCTCAGAAGACTTTTTAATAATAAAGAAAATAATGCACTTATTCAGTAAAACATGGTTCTTAAGTCGTAAAAGAAGACATTTTAAAATTTCACTATACCTATACTTTTGAGTAACCATGAGAAAGCACGTAACTGCAAAAATAATATAACATATGGTAAATAATGGTTGAGATTCTACTGTATCTGAAACGATAAATATGTGTCAACCAACAAATAATTATTCCAACTGACAATTAAGGTAGTAAGGTTAAGACTTTTTTGTATGCAACTTAGATTTATAATTTCATTTCAACGGACAAAAATCTTTGTTTATGTAATGGACTGGTGTTTTTTTATTATAATTGCTCAAGGGGATGACAAAATATCAAAGATTATAATTTCAGGCTGCATTGAAAGTGTATTCTTAGAAATTTTATCTTCTTGGAAATATAATTCAAAGATAAAAACTTTCAATAAGTTCATTAAATTATTTCGGATAATGTTTCAATGATCCTAAAAAACCGGGACCCAACTTGGTCACAAGATTAAGTATTATCATCACCCTGGATCCCACTCGACTACTCCAAGATATTCAACATCTTAACCTTTTTTTTTTACTGTACAATCAAAAACCTTTATTTGCCTATGTGCAATTTTATGTTGCTTTTTCTAGATGTAGAAATTGAAACGTTTTCATTCGATTCAATTCAGAAAATGATTTGTGAATAAAAAAATTGGTAAAAAAAGAAATTTCAATTAAGTTTGATCTTTTTATTTTAAGAAAAAAGACATATACGTACAAGTATACATATAATTTTTCTGTATCTATAATAAATAAAAAAATTACTTCTCCGTATTTGTAAGTTGTAGTTTCCAATATGGTCGATTAAATACATTTTTAGCATTATGTTTATTAATGAAAACTAAACTTAATACTATCAATCTCTACAAAATCATATAGATAAGGTATGTTGTACTGAGAAAAATATTAATGTATGAAATTATACAACTTTTGCTTTAAATTATAGTTGTAGGGGTTGGCGAGCAAAGCGCATGGAAAGGCGGAGCTTAACTAATATGTTTCGATGATTGATCAGGACATACTAATATGCATGAATGTTGCGCAAGCCCCAGCTCAGACTTTACGTATGTACTGAGATTGGAGACAATAGCATGTGAAAATAACCTATTACGTACTTTTTTCAATGTAAAAATTTTTTTTTTTTTTAATTTATGTTTACGTCAGCCATATTGAATCAACAATTTTATTATAAATTACGAGTTTTTCCTTAAATTTGAAATAAGAAACTTGAAAAATGACATCTACAACAATTAAAAATGAATAATAAGACTTTTTTAAACTTAGGGAGTGAAATTATTATTTATACAACAATTAAAATCAAATTATTTTAAATTCTTAATTTTTGTGCGCCATATTGAATCGGACATTTGGATTTCCCAAAAACTAACCTTAGGTTCGTAATCAGTGACTAAAAACCCCTGTTTAGCAAGTTTCAAGAAAACTGTATTGAAAACTTATAAAGAATTTTTATTCTTCAGTAATTTTTTCAATGTTCATGACAAATTATAATTGTTCATAACAATATTGCTCATACTTAGTCGAATTATTTGTAAGATAAAAATACAAATAGTGGTATATTTATCCTGTCTTAAGATTTATGATTTTAATGCAAAAAAAAACTAATTTACTTCGCCCACTGTATATCCCATGTATCTACCCTGGTCTGCAGCTGTATTCACCGGTGCAGTGGTAACACAGTTTAATGCGTCAGCTATTTCAGTGCTTTTGTAGCGTCTATATGCTTTATGTTCTCATTTTCTTACATTTTTTCCTTTAAGTATATGTCTTGTGGTAGTATATGTACAATAGGAACGAAACGCTACAAAGTAATATTACTTGTTGTATTTACATTCATGACCCATATAGGGTGCGTTTGGTTGTTAGATTCGTTTGGGCCGTTTGTTTAATCCCCTAATTTTCATTTTTTAACAGACTTCGCACTGAGTAAACACGTAGATAAAACAAAAAAAGGAAACAGATGAGAGTATCCAAACGAACGAACGATGAAAATCGAATGTACCCGCATGCTAAGATGGTAAAACAATAAGGCTTTTTTTATAATAGGATAATTCAAACTTGCCTTTTCTGCACCGTATCGATATCTTTTTTTCCACAAAACATACATATATATAGTAGAAACAATTTATGTTTAGTTCTGCCATGCACAGGTAGATTTTGTAGGAAAAAGTGTATGTATATGTACCATGTATAGTATAGAACTGGGATCAAACCTGTATTAAGTAACAGGAACAAAAATATAAATAGCATTTGTAAATATATTAATCAAGTCATAACGCAAAGGAACAGCGCGTTGTTCCTAAAATAACCTGATCTGACCTATTTTTTATAGACATATTACTCAATGCTATTTTTATTTTTGTTCCTGTTCATTGTATCGTGAAAACAATTTTAAGTTTCCAAAGTTTCAATCTTTTTATAACGCCGCATATTTAAAATTACGTACTATTTATCATATAGCTTTTTATTTACTATTCTAAAGTATTATGCTGACGGTGAAGTAATATTTTATTCCGTAGTTCCAGAGTGTCATTTTCCATGTGGTAACACTATTAGGTTTTGCTTTTGGCTTGGTCAAAAACTCCACTACCTTTCTCCACGTAAAAGGCAGACAGTAGTGGTGTTTAAACAAACAGTCTAATTTTGGAGACCGTATTAAGAACGAATGCATATTCCTATAGTATAGTTCAAATAATTTCTAACCAACAGTTATTATTAGACTTGAGGCTTATGATATTATTAAATGCATTATTTATAGTTGATCAAAATGGATCCGAAACATAAAGAACTCCTAAACGAAATATCCAAATTACATGATGAAAAATGTTGCAAATACTAATATCGGTTTCGTAAAGATAAAGTATATGGATAAACTATAAAAACAAATAAAGAGATTTAAAATTTTTTTAATTGTATAATTTATTAATCTAACCAAATCAAACTCTTTATGCTATATGTTATGTAAACCTGAGACTATCATAGAGCAAACTGAATAAAAATTAAAGCTCCGAAGAGCAGAATTAATCCTCAATATTTAATATGCAAAAGCTAATGATTTTTCCGCAACAACCAAGTTATAATGTACATTTATCTCAAGCTTTATCCCAAGTTTCCATCAATAAAGATTAAGCAATTTCATCAAACATGCAATTATGACAAGATATCAATTATGACTGATGTAGCGATCGAATCTTTATGTATTTACAAAAAGACTTTTTCCACCCTTGGGTGGTTTTGGGAGGCTGGTAGTTCCTCGGGCAAAAAAGCAGTTTTCCGATACTCGTTCGAAAAGTCTCCTTTACGAACCTCGTTCCGGACCTTGCCTTCGGCTCGGACCGCAAACCTCTCGGTTCACAAACAAAGACTTTTAAAACTCGTAGAAAAACTACTATTTGATACTAGTGTGCGGAAAATAGGTGTTTTCCACACTATTTTTAGTGCGGCAGATCAAATTTCCCACACTGATCATGTAAAAAGTGTGTGGAAAACTATTTTCCGATGTGCGGCAAAGATTTTTGATTTTCCAGTGTGCGGCAAAGCTTTTTTATTTTCCAGTGTGCAGAAAACTGTTTTCCAGAGTGCGGAAAACGTTTTCCAGTGTGCGAAAAATCATTTTCCACACTCCATAAAATATTGTTACAAAAATTTCTAAAATGTTAACGAAATATCATACGTTATTTGAAATGACTTTTCATACTACCAGCAAGCTTTGTTACCGACATGGATGAGAGCCAAATCCTGTAGCCATCCATTTCCTCTTATAAATTGTATTCTATTTAATTATACTTAATTAAACAGTTGAAACACAAGACTTTTCAAATAAAATTGTTAAATTGTAATAAAATTAGGTTTATTTATATAGTTTTTAAAAAATAAAAATGATTTTTTCCGCCCTCGGNTTTTTTGAAGAACGATTATTTTATTTATTTTGTAGTTCTGCTTTGAGGCTGCCACCCCTGGACCCCGCAGAACCTATCTTGTGAGTTAATTATTTTCGACTTTCTGTTCAACTATTTTTTAATAATTTAAAAATTTATTATATTAATATTAATTGTATCCAACTCATACGGATGATATGCAAAGTGCATAAACTTCAAAATCATTATTTAAATTAGTTATTCTACTATGTATATCAATTTTTCTCACACATATTACGAAAAATGTTGTACGTAACTCGTGCGGACGGTTTCCCATACTCGTGTGATTGACTCGTACTCGTGGCCGATGCCAGTAACTCGTCCCCTGCGATCACACTCGTGCTACGCACTCGTGCGCTTAACTGGCACTCGTTCCCAGCAACTTCGGCCACTTGTGCGCGTCAATCACAACTCGTGCGGGAAATCTTCAATTCCGCATTTGTAACGTAAATAACTATTGTTCATTTCCAAACGAAATCGATGCTGTCATGTACATCTGATAAAGAAAAAAATTTTATGAAAATCGAGTACCTATCATGATAGTATTCTTGACAGAAACAAAACCAGAGGCAACAAAAGTAAAAGTATTTATTAACAAACTATCAGACCAAGTTGATTTGCGGCATCGTGATAAAATTGTAAAGATGTTTTTATTAGAGAAATGTGTCGAAGCTTTTACTAGATACTCATAGGGTTATATTATTACAATTCGAAAAAAACTGACATCGAGGAAAATATCCAATCACAGAAATATTACCCAAGTTAGAGA